GATGAACGTTACCGCCTGTATTTCTACTGCCTTTCTTTGAAGCTGGAGGGGTCACCACGCTTGCTGGGCAGCCAGGCGTCACGGGCGCTGCAAGCAGGGCAGAGCCCTGGGGAGGAGGCGGCATTGCAGCCCCCTACGGTACCCAGCTCCTGCACCCCGAGGAGGGGGACGGAGCAGTGGCAAGGCAGCCGGGCTGCTTCAGGGTGCAATTCCCTGCCACGCTCAGCATCAGCAGGTCCTTGCCCACCCTGGGTGGCACTGCCCCGTCCGTGCCAGCTAGAGCAGTGTTGGTGCCCGTGTCGTGATGCATCCTACAGCCAGCCTGGACCGCAGTGAGTGTGCTGCAGTGTAGGATGGGGTGGCATGGAGTCATAACCCAGGGTTCCTGGGTGCTGCTGGCACCCTGGGCTGCTTTCTGCAGGGCTTGCTGAGCCCTGGGCAGACTTGGCCCCAAGGATCAGAGGAGATGGGGAGGTGTGTATCAGGGAGAGATCTCCAGTACCAGTGGGAGTCCCAAAGAGGCTCTGGGAGCTGGAGGAGGGTGATGGCAGTGCTAGGGCCATGGTGTCTCTGCCACTGTCCCTGACAGTGTGGCAGGGTGCTGGTGGTGCTAGTGTCTGGAGGGCTCCTGCCATGTGGCTGGCTGTCCCCCAGGTGAGTGCTGCTGGGTCTCCCACCCACTCGGGGATGCCCTGGGTCGATGTCATGTTGCCTATTCCCACCTGAGCAGGACTGTGGCACTGCTCACGCTGAGCTTGTGGCAGCGGTGGGCTGCAAGCCCCCAGCGCCCAGGCTGTGACCCTGCCAGCCTCGTGCAGCCCTTCTGCCCTAGCAGGGCTGAGCACATCCGGAGTGCCAGGAGATGCCTATTCTGCTCCAGGCTCACATCCTCTCGCACAAGCCCTTGCCGCAACGCTGCGCAGCCTGGCAGGGAGAGGCATCCTCCCCACTTTGCTGGCATCCCCGTTTCCCCATTCTGACCTGCAGGATGGGGCTCAGGGGCTCCCCCGACCTCACATGCCCCACTGCCAGGCTGCCATCACTGCCCATCTTCTCCAGGGCCATCCAGTTCCCCGTCCCCCCAGCCAGAGCCACACGGCTGCTGCGGAGAAGGTGCTGGTTTAATGCTGCAGCCCAGCCTGGAGCGAGCCCTGTGACAACATGCTACTAGGTGTGACTGTGCCCAAAGCGGAGTCCTGTCCCCAAGCCCTCAGGCTCAGCTGTGCTTGTTGATGTGGCGGGAATGAGTGTGTACGGCCTCCACGAAGGCACCCACGTGCTCGGGGCTCATGTCGGGGTAGAGGCCGTGGCCCAGGTTGGCAATGTAGCGTTGGGTCCCAAAACCCTCCAGCATCTTCTTAACCAGCTCGCCAATCTTCTCCTGTAGGCACGGTGGGAAACCATGTGTCAGCCCCATCCAGCCCAGGGTACTCCACCCCCACCAGTCCCCAGCCAGCCTGGGGAACTGCTGGGACACAAGCCAGCACTGCAGGTGCGAAAACTGAGGCAGGAGGCCTTTAACACAGGCTGGATTTAGCCCCCATTGCTGGCAATGGCTACAGCTCACCTTGGGTGCATAGAGAGCACAGGGATCCAGGTTCCCTTGCAGGGTGACATCTTTCCCTGTCTGTACACTGCAGCAGGGAGGAAGCAGGGGTTTTTTTTTGGGGGGCAGAGGCTGGGGACATCGGGGTGCCTGCACCCCCCGCCGCAGGGCACACGGGACCCCTCAGTGCAGCCCCTGGTTGATGTGAGCTCCACATAGCATGGGGCCCCAAATATCCCCACCTCTGGAGCAGAAATCTCCAGGCCTGGGATGGCTCAGGGCAGAGGAAGAGGTCAGGGTACCCAGCCCAGGGTGCTGCCCAGGCACCTGAGCGCTCTGCCAGACTCTTACCGAGCTTCCTGGGGCCGGATGGTCCAGTCGAGACCGACCACCTCGTAACCAGCATGGGCCAGGTCACGCAGCGCGTAGTGCGCATCCTTTGCAAAGATGATCTGAGGAGGGAGGAGATGGGCAGTAACTTCGCTATGGGTCAGGCCCCTCTCCACAGGCTAGACTGGGGGAGTCACCCCTCTCCAGCAGCCCCCAGATGCCAGGGTCAACCCAGGCAGCCCCAACTCACCATAGGCACCAGGGGCAGCGCCTCCTCCTTCAGTTTGCTCTTGACAGCCTGGGCGATGTCTCGGATGTAAGGCAGGGCGAAGTCCTGAAACTGCTCCGGGCCCAGGTGCCCCGCATGGGACTCAAACAGCTGGAGCGCCTGCCGGGGACATGGGGCTGGGAGAGGCGCACCTCAGTCCCTCCTCCTCCTCCCAGAAGCTGGACCCTCTCTGCTCCCTGTCCCCAGTTCCTGCCTTCCCACTTGGCCCTGACCCCATGCACCAGGACACACCTGCGCTCCAGCAGCCACCTGCCCCACCAGGTAGTCAGTGATGACATCGGCCAGCAGCCGTAGCAGTCGGTGGCTTGCCTCGGGGTGACGGTAGAGCCAGCTCTTGGCCTTGGCCATTGTAGTGGAGCCGCCACCTTCAATCATGTAGGACATGAGCGTCCACTGCGGGAAGGAGAGGAGTGGAATGAGGAGGGTGATGGAGATGGAAGAAGACATGAGGGGCCGGTCACAGTGCTGAAGGTAGGACCTCTCAGCACCCCAGAGTCTCAGGCACAGCTGCTCCTGCACTGAACATCTCCCACCTACGTACCACTATAGCACCCACAGTTCTGAGGGTGTCATGGCCAGTGTCACCCCAGAAGAAAGAGGAGAGAAGCCCAGCTGGGAAGCCCACATGTAGGAGCCACATTTGCCAGGCGCCCGGAGAAAGCCGATGAGGGGCACCCTGCCCTCCAGGCTGTGTCGTGTCAGTGTGATGGCCTGGAAGACGTAACCCAGCTCCGCAGTCACGTCCACCTTCTGTCGCAGTTTCAGCAGATCCTCCACCTCCTTCAGGGGCTCTGTAAATGTGGGTCCTTTGCCAGGGACCATGACAACCTCCATGCCCAGCGCCTGG